TGTCCCTCCCAGTCCGGCTGGGAGGGGAAATCCAAGCGGGAAGAGCCTGGAACTGCCTGTTCCCAGCCCTGCTCCACTCCCCATCTGCCGCTCCGGGTGTCACACCCCGGGCAGGCTCAGAAGGGGAATCGTGGGGAATTGGGGGGGGAGTTCCCTGGGGATTGGCCTCCGAGGGGGAGGATGATGAACCCCACACCGAGGAAGGTTTGGAGAGAAGCAAACCAGCACCTCCAGCCCTCCACTCCCCACCTCCTTCCTCAGGTTCAGTTCCAAGTGCACCTCACCCCTCCCTCCTTCCTCAGAGGAGCAGGGAAGCAGCAGCAGGGAGCCCTGAATTTCCAAGCTCAAGTCTTCCTTTTTTTTCTTCTTTCCCCTCTCCCTGCACCCTGTTTTTTGATCCAGTCGTGCTTTCCAAGCTCATTTCTTCCCTTTTTTTTTCTTTTTCTCCCCTCTCCCTGCACCCTCTTTTTTGATCCAATTGTGTTTTTCAAGCTCATTTCTTCCCTTTTTTTCCTCTTTTTTCCCCCCTCTCCCTGCACCCTCTCTTTTGATCCAAACTGAACTCAAAATAGAAGAGGAAAAGGGCTTGCAGAAATATCTGCCAGCTGCTCCGAGCTCTCTCACCAGTTAAAAAACCTGTTTTTTTAGCTTAGTCAGAAGACCTTTTTCCATCCATTCATTAGGAGAAGAAGCAGGAGAGGGTGTCATCAAAGCAGCCAGCCAAGGGAGGTCTGGGGATGGGAGTGAAAGAAAGAAACTGGGATGCAGGGAGTGGATCAAACAGAAAAGGATAAAGGACACTGGGGGTGACAATGAAGCAGCAACTCCGAGCTGTCCTCCACATCCAAGGAGACTTTCTGTGTTTGCCAGGGAAATTTCACCTCCAGCTGTTTCCTGACAGCTCCAGGGGCCACATTTCTAAACCAGGCTTTTGCCTTTTTCGCCGAAAGCAGGAGAAAAGCAGATTTTACAGAGCAGAGTTTTGGATGCTCAAACCACATCGAGGCAAACAGGTGATTTTTAGGGAGCTTGCAAAGGGAAAGGGAGAAGAGCAAGGGTTCTCTCACAGCAGCAATCGTGGTTTGGGTTAGAAGGGATTTTAAAGACCACCCTGCCATGGGCAGGGACACCTTCCACCAGCCCAGGCTGCTCCCACCCAGCCCTGGATAATTCCAGGGGGTCACAGCATCCCAAAGCTCCATTTAATTCTTCCCAGCAGCTCCCTCTGAAGCAGCTGCAGGAAAATAGAGCCATCACCAACCAGGACAAGCGATTTGCATGGCTGCTTTATCTCCCTTTGTAGTCCTAAATGAAGATTTGTCTCCCAGATTCGCTGCTGCATCAAATGGAAACTAAACAGGCATTGATTGTCTGTTCTAATTGCCACTGATCTGGTGATCAGCCCCGAGAGTCAGCAGCTCAGAGGCCTCGTGTGAACTGGGAATTTGACCCAGTTCAAGGCCCTGGAAGATTTGGCTGCAGGTTTCTGGTTGAGCCAGAGCTGGATGTCCCAGCCACCTAAACACCAAGGGGCTGTTGTGTGGGAAACTCCATCGTGTCAGCTCCCAGTTTGAATTTTAAACACAATAAAGGAGATCTTCTGGAGATCTTCTGGAGATCTTTTATCCAGAAACTGATACAGAGACTTTAAGGCCTGATCCACAAGTGGGTCCAATAGCAATAAATTGGCACCTCAGCCAGATCAGAACCCAAAACCCAGGATTTTGGTCCTGCTCTGCCTGTCCTAAGCAAGTCAGGATAATGCTCCCAGTCCTCTTTTCAAGATTAGCAGAATTTATTCTTGCCTGGTTTTTCAGTCAAAAATTCCAGGCTGGGCTCCACACAAAATAAAAAATCCCAGCCCATAAAACATCCCAAACCCCCCAGACCTTCAAACCACCAAGAGAACTAAAACCCAGCTGAGTTTGTGAAGCCTGCCATGGTTTTTAAGTCCATTCTTAGTGGGTTTAGCCTGATGTAACAAGGTGATATCTCTACAAACACAACTTGTGCACATTTCTGATGGTTTGAGTTCTCTGGGCACCTTCAGCTGCATTTGCTGGGGTCTCAAACGCCTCAGAGCTCCCCAAGCCCTTTGCCAAAAGCCAAATTGTTAGAAGACAACCCTAAACCCAGTCCCCTCAAAGCCCACATCACCCCACCACCCTCACTGGACACCAGGGGGGGGAAGAACTGGGAATGTCCAACACCCCCACTTGTGGGAAAAGCCTCAACTGTGCTGAACAATTGCCCACAAGGCACGAATCTGTGGGAAACCAGGCTTTGTTAATCCCTGGGCTCAAGGAAATACTGATTCCTACCCCGAGGAAGGGGCCTGTTTCCTGCCAGCTGCCTTCCCAGCCAGGGGAGCTGGGGGTGCCTCCAGCCAGGGCTGCTCAGGACCCCTGGACACAGCACTAATCCCTCGGGTCAGGCCTCAAGAGTTCAGACCTGGCTGGACGAGCCCCAGCAGTAATTTGAGTCCCTCGTGATATTTAAGCCAGGGCTGGACAAAGCCTGAGAAAACTGGAACCCAACCTGGCTTAGGGAGCCAGGAGGGGCTGCAGCATCATTTTGTGCTCACTCTTCCAATTCCACTCAGGTTTTGGCCACTTTGTTGGGAAATTGCTGCTCTCTTCCCCCAAAATAAACCCCGTCCTTCACTGCAGGAGCCTCATGGCAAAGCTTTGGTGCCTCAGATGCTGCAGGGAACTCTCAGTGGGGCTCCAGGACAATTTGGCTGCTGGCCAGTGCCCCCCAAATCGAGGGACCTGCTCCTCAGTGGTCGCTGTCACACCCACCAAAGAGCTGATCCCGCCCTGCAGAGCTCCTGACAATCTCACACCAGGAATTCCTGATTTCTCAGCTCTTCCCGTGGCTCAGGACAGGTAGCAGCAGGTATTAGTCCCAGGGATTTCAGAGTGATGCTGAAAGCCTCCTGCTTACCAGGCAGGGTTAGTGAGAGAGAGAGAAAAGGGGCTGGAACAATCCCTGAAAAAATTCCTTAGATCTTTCCCAAAGAAAAATTTCCACTTGCCAAAGAAAAATTTCCAATCCAGGCTTGCCAAGGCCTGGATGTGGGGTAGCAAATATCTTCTAGGATGGAGGCTGACTAATTAACAGCACTTAATAGCCAGCTAGAAGAGGTATGGCCACAAAAATGAAATTAAGGAGTTCATATCACAGAAACTGAGGTGCTGGTTTTTTTCTCTCTGGGGCAGGTGAGGCTTGGGGGCCACTCCTGGAATGACAGCACAGCCCAAAGCAGTGAACAATAAGCAGGGGCAGGCAGGGAAATCAAGGCAGGAAGCTTCTGAGAATGCTCTGGCACTAAAAATAGCCAGGAGTTTTGGTTATTTTCGGGTACAGTGCCAGCAGGCAGCAAAATCTGCAACATCATTCCCTGCGCTCCCCAGCACGGCTTCCCGGGAACAGCAGGGCAAATTTGGGCAAGGATGCAAAGAACAGCGAGTTGCTCAGCTCCCCTGGTGCTGAGGAGCAGGGAAAGGCCCTAATAGAGGCACAGAATCCCAGCTAAATATGCAGAGGGACACCAGGAATAGCCTGGGACAGCTCCGGGCTCTGGGAAGCCTCCCCTGCCTCCAGCAGGGCTGGGTCGTGCCCTGGCTGTGCTGGGGCTGCTTAAATTGGCTTCTCAGCAGCCCTTTCCCACCCAGAGCCCCCAGGACCCCTCTGGCTCTGCAGAGGCTAAAATCAGGATTTAGAACCGAAGAATCAAAGGGCAGTTTGGCCCTGAAATGGGGGAGTGGAGCTATTTCGGGGTTGGATTCACACGGGGGACTTTTCTGGAGCATCAGCTGGACACGGGCACTGGGAGTGAATCAGCAGCCTGGGGACCAACTGGGAGCTGGGGAGGGGCAGGGGGAGCACATATATCAGTTATATCGTGTCTAATGGTTAAATAAATTTCTGTTGCTGACCCGAAGGACTGGCCAGCCCTGCCCCTGCCTTCCCATCCCCCTTCCCGGAGCTTCGGAGCCTCGGCTTCCTCATTAAAGTGGCTGAATAGAGGCTGCACTTGTTACACGGCTCTGCCCGCAAAGGCTGCACCAGCGTCCAGGCAGCCCTGCTCCCTTCCCAAATCCACCCCCAGGGGGGACTCACCTGCTGGGTAGGTCCAGGGAAAGGGGCTGGGAGGGTGGAGTGGGGGACTGTCACCAGCAGTGACCCACCTGTGGGCACCTCTGGCCACCCCCACCCCGATTAAACGGTGTAAAATCCCCACAGTCACATTCCCTGCCTGGTTTTGGTGGGAATTGCACCAGTGATCCCAGGGATCACCCCCAGGGCGACTCTCCAGGCGCTCCCTCCCCTCCCACTTCACACACTCACTTCCACAGGTTATCCCACAAAATGATCAGAAACGAGAAGCCCCAGCCCAGGCTGGGAATTTGTGCCTCCCATCAAGTTTTTTTTTTTTTTCCTTGCAATATATGATGGAGCTGCCCCAGGCCTCGGTGGGATATATTAGAGCCCAAGACAGTTGTCTGACAAATTCCTGATAAACAAAGGAGACAAAGCTGGAACTCGAGCTATGTGCGAGTCTATTTATGTTTGTTAGTTGCGAGTTACTTCTTTAGTAAACGTTTCCTGTTTAAGAAACACAGATTTTTAAAGCCTGCGAGGAAATTCCCAGTGCCCCCAGTCAGAAAAAAAAGCCAGGTTGTGCTGGGCAGATCCAGCCCTTCTCATATGAGAGCTTTTAAAATGAGCCTTCAAGAGACTCTGTCAGCTTGTTTTAACCAAAAAAGGCCTGACCAGCAGTCCCTGCACTGAAGAGGTTTCCAAAAAATTGAGGCATTCAACACTGCAAAGTTAATCTCCCCAAGCAGAGCCCACTTCCAATTAAGTTATTATATAAATGCACACTAAGCAGCTGCTGGAACACACCTAAGCTATAGGATATGGTGAGCACATGTTCCTGCTGAACACGCACTAAAATGTGATTTTCCCCTACTTGCACTCCTGTGTTGCCTCAGTTTGCCTTTTTATTTCCAAGAGGATAATCACAAACCCAGCTGATGGTTCATCTTCACCACGCAGGGAACAAGCTGGGTGAACAGGGAATATTTTCTCCCTCTGATGCTCAATTTACTCCATGAATGATGTCCCATGAGCTTTTCCCCTCTGTCCTCCTTCTCCAGAGCAGAGAACTGATGCAGAGATGGAGCCTGACCCCCAACTGGGCACCAGGGGATCCAAACCCATTCCCAGAGGCATCAACAGAACCCCAGAGCCCCATTCCAAGTCTGACCTATTTAATTGCTGCATTCCCAGTTCTTCCAAAGCAGGAGCAGCCCTTTGGCATCCCAATTTCTGCTCTCCTTCCCCCCTCAGTGCTCTGGGAAGCTCCAGCTGCCTCAGCAATCCCAAAATCCCTTAGCAATCCCAAAGTCATTGCCATGGGCAGGGCCCCCCCACCCCTCACAGGGAAGAATTTTTCCCCAATGTCTCACCTAACCCTGACCTCTTCCACCCCAAAACTGAGCATCATCAGGCAATGTCTCAGCCTGGGCTGTGTCACCAGCACTTGGGGGTCCAGGAGGGCGATTTGGGGCTCCCACACAATTCCTAATGACTTAAGGAGAGATGTAAGAAGCTGTGGCTGCCTCAAGATCCCTGGAAGTGTCCAAGGCCAGGCTGGAGCAACCTGGGCTGGTGAAGGTGTCCCTGCCCATGGCAGGGGGTGGAATGGGATGATTTTAAAGCCCTTCCAACCCAAACCACCCCGGGATTCCAGGATGTCCCGCCCTACCCCCACCCCCGAATTCCTGATCACCCTTCGCTCCGAAGCCATCCCGGTCTAACGTGGCAGTTCCTGCGGGATCCTCCCCTGCCCATCCTGGGATCAGGGCAGGCCCGAGCAGGGGGGGATCGGGCAATTTAAGGTTCTCCCAACCCAACCCAACCCATTCCACGATGCTCTGGAAGCGCCGCGTGTCGCAGCCCCACAACCCTCCCCTGCCGATGCTCCGGGACGCGGTGACACCTCCCCGCTCCCCCCCTCTTCCCAAAATCCGGCTCTGGAGCGGGCTGGAGCCGCTCGCTCCCAATAGATGGCAGCAGTGCCCGGACACACGGGAGCGGCTCCAGGTGAGCCGGGATGCTCCTGCCGCTGGACCACCCTGCCTTCCCTCCCTCCCGAGCCCTTCTTCGTCCCCCTGAATGCAGCAGCTCCCTCCCTCCCTCCCCCCCGGGCTCCCCCTCTCCCTCCCCGGCCCGTCCTCCCCTACTTTTGGCCGGGACAGGGCACTGGATGTTCCCTGAAAATAGCGCCCTGTCAATGGGGAGGAGGGTTTTGTTCCCCTGCGTGTCCCTGATCGAACCCTTTGTGACTTAATCACGCTTTTGGCAGCGGGCGTAAGAAACGAGCCGTGAATCGAGCGATTGTATCTCCTGGATTTTCCTCTGCCGTTGTCGTGTGCGACCCCGGAGAATACCCACGGCTTCCCCTGCTCCATTCCCCCTCCAAGCCCGGCCAAAAGGGCTTTTTTTTTTGGTTTTGCTAACGCTGTGTGATGATTTATAACGGTTTAAAAACCCCTCGTCTAGGAGGGTTAAACCTCTGCACAGAGGAAGGGAGGACGGAAAGGGCTCAGGCACAGTCAGGGAAACCGGGGGGGGGGGGAAGAAAAAGCAGCAAGAAGTTGCTTTACAAATGCAGGCCTCCTGCTTTGTTAACACATTTAAGTACTGTTAATTGCAGTGCACCGCGGGATAAAGGGGCATTTGTAATTGATTAATCTATGTTTGCCATTTTCTAATTAAAGAGAAAAGAAACCCTAATTATCCCTCTCTGTCCCAGGTCATTATGGAATAAGCAATTTTCCCTCCTTGCACGCTGGGTTCCCCTATTCTCCCACGTTACATAAACCCCTCAGCACACAGGGCAGGGGCTGCAGGGCCCAGTTCAGCTCGTTAGGCACGACCAGCAGAGCTGGGCTGCTCAGAATCCCTCGTGGGGACTCCCTGAGAGCTTCAATCCCAGCTCCAAACCTCACAGAGCTTTCCCAGCACTCCCCAAGCCCCTGGAAAACATCATCATCAGCATGGCTGGGCTTCAGGAATGAAGATTTGGGGAGGGATCTCCCCATGATTGTTACGTGTGGGGAACTTGCCCCCGGAAAATAAGTCTGGAGAAAAAAGATGAACTTGGGGACTTCATCCCATCAGGTAGGTCGGAAAGAAGGATTAAAAAAAGCCCTGAGAGGTAAAAGAGATGACACCTGAGCTGCTGCTGTGGTTCTTTCCGTGTCACCTGAATGTCAGGGAAAGGCAGAGGGAGCATTTGATCCACAGGCTGCAGTCCAGGGCTTGGATTCAGCCCCAGCTGCTGCTGCAGCTCCTGAAATTCTCTCAAGGAAGAAGAACACTCAGCCTGACCCCTCTGAAAGGTTCCACATCTTCTGCCATCCCCTCCTCCATGCCCCAGGCCACTGCAACCCCCCCTTGCTGGGAGAAGGCAGCTCGTGGGCCAAGAGGAGGAGAAATGGGAAAAGCCTCCAACGGTGCTGGAGAGAATCCTGGAAGCCCAGAAGGATTTGGGTTAGAAGGGATTTTAAAGCCCATCCAGTGCCACCCCCTGCCATGGGCAGGGACACCTCCCACTAGCCCAGGGTGCTCCAAGCTGGCCTTGGGCACTTCCAGGGATCTTGAGGCAGCCCCAGCTTCTCTGGGAATGCCATCCCAACCTCTCCCCACCCTCACAGGGAGGAATTCCTTCCCAACATCCCATCTAAAGTGTTCTCTGGCAGTGGGAACCATTCCCTGTGTCCCGTCCCTCCATCCCTTGTCCCCAGTCCCTCTCCAGCTCTCCTGAGCCCCTTCAGGCCCTGGAAGGGGCTCTCAGGTCTCCCTGGATCCTTCTCTTCTCCAGGTGAACCCCCCCAGCTCTCCCAGCCTGGCTCCAGAGGGACTCCAGCCCTCAGAGCACCTTCCAGAGGGGCCGAGTCTCTGCTCCCTGCAAAGTTGATGTTCATAATAAAGTTGAGCAGGACAAATCCAGAGCTCAGTAAATTTGTTTAGTGGCTGAACAAGAAAGCTGCAAGAAAAACAGGCTCCCCTTTTCCCTGGCTTAAACGAGGCAGGATGGAACATTTTCTCTTTAATTTGGGGGCTGTGCTGGTGACAAGGATCCTGCTGATAAATCCCACTAAAAGACACTGATCTGCTCCAACACATTTCACTCCAGAGGGAAGGAGTTTTCTCCAGAAACAGTTAAACTGCAGCTAAACTTAAAAACCAGAGTTCAGGGCAGGTGATGCCACTCCCTGATTTTATTCCAGTGCCCAGTTTCTCTCCCTGGTTTCTGCAGAGGAGCAGTCGGGGATGAGCTCTGGGAGAGGATGATGCTGCTCCCACCACCCCCCCTCCACCCTGGGCAGGGGTTGCAGCTCTTGCTCAGTGGCCTTGGGTTGTAACTATTCCAATTTTCATGGCTGAGTTAAAAAAAAAATAGCTCTGAGAGTAAAAAAAAAAATAAATTTCATAATTAGACTCGTCATTGCAAGATGTTGCTGAAGACACGTAGGAGGATTTTTAAGGAGGGCTCAGACGTGAATAAAGATAAAGAATATGCAGTTTTTAAGCCAGGAAAGGGTTTAAAAGAGAACATGCTTCAAATTGAGACTCATTTTTAATAACTGGGGGTTGAGAGGGGGATTATTTTCTGCCAATATGCTCCTCCCTGAACTGGGAGAAGAAAGTTGTTCTTAATCTTGCCTGGAATTATCATTCCCAGCCCCAAAGGCGACCCAATGGCATCACTGATGTTACACAAAAACAGTGGAAGGGACACAATGGGAGGGTTTAAAGGAAAACCCCTTTCAGGGGAGGGGAATAAAACTTTGTCTCTGCCCCTTGGCTGAAGCAGATCCTGAAAAAAAACGAAACTTCAGAGACACTCCAGAGGTGCAGGGAGAGGATGAGGATGGACCAGCAGAGCTGAAATGCTCCTTTAATAATAATAACAGCCCCAGATAACTGCAGGGATCTGTGTCTGAGGTGCTGCACAACCCCCCAGCCACTGTTAATAAGATTATTTTGGTGTTTATTACGAGATAAAGCTCCAAGTGGCCAGTTCACAGCCAGCCAGTTGGGAGCTCCAGCTCCACGGATCCATCCATGTGGCTTCAATTTGAAGCACGAGTAATCCCTTAAATCCCAGACTTTCAGGAACCAGTCATGCTTAAAATTAAGCCCACATGTGGGTGTTTGCAGGGTCAGGTCTGGAAGATCACTTGCCTGGGTTTCCACCTGTTAGGGGAGAGTCTCTTTTCACGTTGCCATTATTCCCTTTTTTTTTTTTTTTTTTCCCCACCCAGGCCTGTGTTTGGCACAGGAATTTAAGGACATTCTGGTCTTTCCACTGAGACCTTGAGAGTTTTCCTTGATAAAATTAATCCATTATCAGGAATCTCCTGAAGAAGCCAAAAAAAAGAAATAACCTTGTCCATGCAGGAATGCCCTAAATATAACCTCTGCCCTTCATATCCAGTGCCAGGGCAGCTCAGAGGTGAGCAGGGTGTTTTTAAACCTCTGGACAAAATGTTTCTGGGTATTTTTAGAAGTGAAGGCTGATTTCCTTCATCCCAGGGCTGTGCCAGAGCTGGAAGTGTTGGGATGTGTGATGGAAATTCATCCTTGCTCTGCTTCTGGTTTGTCTCTGCTGGCAACAGGGGAATCTCTGCCTGTCCTTGCCTTATCTCCCACTAAAGATAAGAGGGATGAAGGAGGGGAAATAAGGGAATTAATGTATTTTTAGTGATTTGGAGGGAGAGCTGAGCTGCTGAAATCCTCTGTTAAGCAGGTGATTCATCCCAAAATCCGCCAGCACTTTAAATTTCAGGAGGATTTTCTCCTCCCTGGGTTTCTGTTCCATCCCATGACCTGATGTTCCCCCTGAGCAGGTGTAACCCCCAGGTATGGCCTGGGAGCAGCTGCTCCCAGCAGGATCTGCTGTGATTCCTTTTCCCAGTGCTGGAATGGCACCAAACACAGCTCTGGGCAGAGGGAACTGACTGAGGGAAACCACCAAGAATTTGGCTCCCCCTCATCCCCCAAATGGCTGGGAAATGAGCTCCTTTGTGTGAAGAAAGGAGGAAGTTCATCCAAACCCCTTGATCTGAATCCCCTTTGGGCACCATAAAAGCCCCGTTCTGTCTTTCTGCTCCTTTCTGGGTTGGAGGCAATGAAAGCTCCACGTTCCCCTGCCCTGCACAGGGTTTGGCCTCACACAGCCCAGAGGGGATCTGGGGCTTTTGGGGGAAAAAAAATGTCCAGAGCTGGGAGGTGCCTGCAGCTCTGACGTGATTATTCATGTGCCTTCTGTGGGTTTTGGCTGAAAAAACGAGCCAGAGTGGGAAATGAGGGGGAAAACAAGGCAGTGAAGCTCAGCAGGCTTCTTTTTGATAATCAAGAACCCCATAAAATAAAGGGGATGCTGAGAATCCCCAGGAGAGGGTTTAAATCTGCAGAGATGGGGCAACATTTGGGGAGTGATGGATCCACGTTACCCCTGTTTTAGTGCAGTCTGAGGGTCATTCAGGCCAACACCACCTTTGTCAGGCTGTTTTGGGGCAGTGCAGTGGGTCTGAGCAGTGGCAGGGCTGGAAGGGGACAGACACAGGCACGGGCTGTTCTGCTCCCAAAAATGCAGAGGGAATGGCTCCAAACCAGCAACAGGAACTTTCCCATGGTCTCCCAGCACCAGGTGGTGGTGGAGGGACAGTTTGAAACATCAGGTTTGTGGCCTCTGCTCCTTTTTGGTGACTCCCTGGTGAGTCCCAGCAAACCTTGTCCTGGGCTCCTGGGGAGTGCTGGGAGCAGCTCCATGTGCCATCCAAACATGGAATCCTGGGATGGTTTGGGCTGGGAGGGACCTTAAAGCCCATTTCAGCCCACCTTTCCACCTTCCACCATCCCAGGTTGCTCCAACCTGGCCTTGGGGCACTTCCAGGGATGGGGTGTGGAGGATCCATCAGGGACAGAAGCTGAGGTGGCTCTGGAGGAGACCCTCAGACCCTCCAGAGAAGGTGGGGCTGAGAGTCCACACAGAGAACCTCCAAGGCTTTGGCCAGACAAACACACAGTGGTTATTCCTTCCAAACATGGAATCCTGGGATGGTTTGGGCTGGGAGGGACCTTAAAGCCCATTTCAGCCCACCCCCTGACACGGGCAGGGACGCCTTCCACCATCCCAGGTTGCTCCAACCTGGCCTTGGGCACTTCCAGGGATGGGGTGTGGAGGATCCATCAGTGGCAGAAGCTGAGGTGGCTCTGGATGAG